TCCTTGTTAGACCCAGAAGCTGATGCCAAAGCGCTCTGAGCCATGACGATAGCGCTCCTGGTCACAGTGCTCCTTGAAGGTGCTTGAAGGTTTGCTCGTCTTGGGCTTCGACCACGACGAGAAGATTCATCTCGAGCTTCAGACTTGGGTGGCATAGTGTCTTCCAAGGCAAACAGCGCAGTGATCTCTGGTTCAGGTTGATCACCAGATGATGCTGCAGGTTGTTGCTCTTGAGCCCAAGTGTCAGACTCAACATTAGCAACTTTACGACCTTTGCCTTGATCCCCTTTTCCTTTACCTTTGTCTTGACCTTTCTTACCTTTGCCTTTGCTCTTGGAGTCATTGGTATTCTGTTTAGACCAAGACTGCTGATTCCAAGACTGATTGTTCCAAGACTTGTTGTATGAATTGTTTGACCAAGACGAAGACTGACTCTTTCCTTTGTCTTTACCTTTGGACTTACCTTTGCCTTTCCCTTTATCATGTTTTCCTTTTCCCTTACCCTTAGCAAGGGAATCCACATCCATGGGAACGGCTCCTGACTTTGCTTCTTTCCTGGTCTCGACGTTCTCAAGGTAGGCCAAAACTTCAGCTTTCACCTGGTCATACGTGGTCAATCTCGAAGCCTGCAAGTCCAAATGATCTTGCAACTTGTTGGGACACATCTGCTGCAAGCAACTCCTGCAGATGTCATCTTCAAGTGGTTTCTTTCTCCTGTCTTCGTACTTTCTTTTCAAGTTCTCCCAACTCTCAAGCCCTTCTCGAAGCTTATCAAGACTGCATTGACTTGGATGCAGAACCTTTTTCAACAAGGCTGAATTGGCTTGAGGATTTTGAGGATCATATTTGCACAACAGTCGTCTCATGGCTTCTAGGCCAAAGTGGCTACCACGAGATGTGTTCTTGACAATTTCCAACGCTTCTCCCTCAGTCAATGATATGAGGGCTTGTCTAGCCTGAGCTGAAACTAGCTCGGCGCCTTCATCAAAGTCTACTTCTAGACTTGACTCAGTGATCTCTTTGTCACACTGAGACTCGACTTGTGCCACAATCTTCACAGCGTTCTTGTGGCAACTTTCAACCCATGTCTTAAACTTGTACCACCAACTATCCCAAGTGCCTGATGCTCCAGTGAACTTATCAGGTTTTGGTATGCCTTTCAACTCCGATCTGTCTTTGTACTCAACAGATCTCTCAACATTTCTGTTGATCTGAAGCTGCTGGTTCATAGCCTCGGTCATTGCCTGATTCAACTGCGCCTGACCCTGAGTCAATTGGGCCATCATCTGCATAACCATCTGGGACATGTTGGGACCATTGCCTTGTGCTTGTTGTGGTGCTGGTGGAGTGCCTGGTTGCTGAGGTGGCTGCTGTTGCTGAGCCATCCTTAGTCGTTCTTCAGGTGCTTTGAGACCTGATTCAAGAGAACCCTTGGATACTGTTGGAGATGCACTCCCAGGTTATGGAAGTACCTTTGGAGTTTCCTGATTTTCAGGAGCTTGAGTGTCAACCTTTTCCAGTTGGCACTGGGTAGGCGCGCCAGAGCTGATGCAGCTCGGCGTTGACACCTACACATTCACAGCTGGGTATCAGAACCTCAGCTCCGCTACCATGAACAGAGAATTTGGGCTCTTAAATCTGATGAACACTCCTGAGCACTGATCAGCACCTTTTCACTCAGTCAGCTCGAAGGTAGCTGAAAGCACTAAAATGGCTAAAATGGCTGCAGCACATATACAAACATATATGCTACATGTGACATAGTCTACACTGTACACATATCTGATCACTGGGCCATATATATATACACATATAATATGTATAAATACCATAAGTGGAACAAAGCACTCAGCTCCACCGTCCCAAGCTGGCCTGAAAGAAGAGGATATGTCCAGGTAAGGACGCCACACCGTTGGAATCCTCGCGAACTCGCGTCACTGTCACTGCAGGAAGCTTCGCAGATCGCTCCAAGCGCTGTCGCCCAAATGTCCAATGCGTCACATGGCGTCACCAAACAGTGTTTTGGATCTTTGGTCCCACTAGGGTCCAAACTCAACCTTACAGCTGATATGTTCATTTCTCAATTTTACTCCTTAGCAATCACCTATCCCCAGATGTGTTGTAGTCTAGATGGCAAATAGCCAGGAAAGTGCCAGGAAGACGTTCAGAGTCAAAATTCCCAAAGTCTGCGCTTTGTTCGTTAAGCACCTACAGGAAATCCTGCACCCCACCCATCCCTTGGCTCCAAATTTGCGCAACCAGCCGCCAGCACTGGAAACACCAGCAGCTCCTCAAGCGGTGCAGCTCTAAAAAATATGAAATTTGGAACACAACTGGCATGGCTTTCAAAGGCTGACGTCAAAGCTTGCTTTGGTCCAACTTGGTGGCAAGGAAAAGGTGATGTTCATGTTTCTTCACCAACCCTTCCCTCGCTCCGCCACGGACAGGACCGCAAGGACCGCAAAGTGCAACTCCGGCAACTTCCTCTGTGTGGCCTGGGCAGTTTTTGTTTTCAATCATTGGTCACATATGGTCACATCACACGATCCAAACATCGTTTTCAATTTCAGTATTTCAATTCACCTCCTGGCTAGCAATCTGGCCTACAATTTCAGTTTCCTTCTGTGGCAGGGACTAGATTCCAGAATCTCAACCAACATGCGCCCGCACAGAAGGCCCCAGGGCGTTTTTGTGTGCACGCGCAGACAGGAAGCAATTGCAAGCATTGTAAGCTGCAAATAACCTCACAGAAAATATCTTATTTTGCTGCCTTTTTCGCACGTTGCTTTTGGGTGGGTGCTAAGTTGCGCCCATTTCAGTCCATGTTCGACCAATGTTGAGACTATGTGGTCGATGTTATGGCAATCTTGTGCGTACATTGGAACTATGTGGGCCTATGCTTAGGGGATTTTACGACATTGTCAAAAATGCGAGAAAACCGGTGATTCTAGAGCCCCACCCAAGCTAAAGCTTACCACTTTTGGAGGGTGTTGAATCTTTTTCGGGTATGTTTTGAAGGTTTGTTGCGCTATCTAGGGATGTTCAGGAGCACACAAACCCTGTACCTGAGCCCTTTTTGGCCACTTTTTTAAAGTATATATTTTCCTAGCATTACAAATAATGTGCAAATAGAGGAAAAACACAGACATGGTTTTGCTCTGCAAAAAGCATCAACTGTATACAAAGCATCTGGGTCTCTAGGCCGCAAGAACCGCAGTTGAAACATTTTGAAACCCACTTGCCAATTGCAACGGGTTTCAATCCAAGCTCAAAACGCACTACCCCCACTTGGACGTAGTGTACTGTCCAAGTATGCACGGAATCCATAGCTCTTGTGCGGCTGTCCAAAGTCTGTTCAAAAATTGCTTCGCTAGAGTCTTTGAACCACTTTCCTCCTGGACAGCAAAACACACTAGAATATAGATCGGCCTGTTAATTTTTCCCTGTATCCTGTAAATTAAACTCTTGACCAGATGCAGGGGTTCAACCCAAATTCAAAAATTCCGCTGCAGGCACTTGTCGTCGCGAAGCGATCAGAATAAGATCAGCTTCAAATCTAGCCTTGAACCTATGTGGCAGTGTGTCAAAACCTTGTACCCCTGGTGAACATCAAAATAGCTGGTAAATGGATGTTCATTCCCCTAAAAATGGTATTAATAGGTATTGATCCATACCCATGTGAGTCTTGTCTAGGTTCTGTCCCTTAGCATCCGCCGCTTTTGGGGTTGATCTATTGGCTTGTGATGCCAGTTTTTTTAACTTCGTCAAGCTGCACCCAAGCGCTCTCCACGAGCTGATCGCAAGGATTTCACCTGTCACTGTCAGCACGGGCTGTGGTGCTGGATGTTGTGTTTTTAGAACTTTGGAACTGTCTGGGAATGTCCGCAAAGTATCGCAAAGTCTACTTTTGAGTTTCAACTTCACTTGATGCTCATTGGAAATCATTGGAAGCTGTACATTATTGTACATTGAATGGTGGCTGGCTAGACCGCAGCACCATTCTGAACCATTCTGAGCCATTCTGAACCATCAGGGTCCCCTGCCGTGTCGTAGACGTAGGATGGCACGCCCACAGAGGTGAAGTAAAGCACTTGCTCCAGGGGGTCGGTGCGACCTTTAGTAGAAGTATATATATATACATATGTACATGTATTACATTGAATATGTATTATATTATATATTATAATATCTATATATATAATATATATATATATATATATGTATGTATGTAGTATTTATAATATGTGTATATATATATACCAAATAAGTCTTTATAAACACACTCAGAAAGCTGAAATGAAAATGGCAGAGGGCATCTTCCGTCATGCTGCATCATGCGTCATGCAGATTTACGGGGGATGATTTATCTTTCTGCACAAGGGACATGCACTTTCAGTGAGAAGAGCCTCAAAGCAAACCATAGGAACTGACAGCTGAGTCCAGCGCCTTCTTCAGTGTGAATTTTCCCTGACCGAGGAAGTGCATGGCTGTCCGTTTGCCCTATTGACAGCCCGCCCGTCACTGCTCTTGGCCAACTATATAATATTGTAATCCGTGGCCACGAACCCCAAGGTTACCCAAAAGATTTCGCATCTAGCATGGGTCAAGAACAATCGGTCGACTGAACTCAATGACATTCTAAACTCTAAACCGAATATGGATCGATATATGGTCTATATGATGTCTATATGATGTCTAGCCATGTCTAGCCAGTCTATCCTTCAAAGCATCCAAACTTTCCTCCCGTCCCGTCCCGTCCCGCACCTGACAGCAGCCTGGCAGGGTTGCAATCCAAACGCCTCAGGTCTTCCCGGACGTATCGCTGCAAACCTGGGCAATTTGCATCAGCGCTAAAAACTGTGCTGAAAAACGAACTCCACACGTCAGATGCGTCAGATGCGTCATGTGATGGGATAATATGTATACCATTGCACACCGTGCATACCACTTCCCTAGATCTCAACATATCTCAACCTTCCTGAAGTTCGGCAATGCAATTTCTGATGGCAATCTGCCAGTTTTTTTCCCAAGCGCTTTGGCTCGCTGCAGGGAGTCCGAGTCTGAATCTCAAACGAACTCCGAGGACTCTATGTGGGATGGTCATTGCATCCTTGCTATGCCTTGCTATGCCTTGCTATGCCTTGCTATAACTTGCTATGCCTTGCCCTTGCTGATGGTTCAAATGGAGTCTGAGTAAAGGTCAGTGACCCACATCACCTCAGAAGGCTCTATATAGTTATCAGCAGGAGCGGCCACATTTTCTCGGCTCAAATGTCATACCAATGCTGCCAAAAAGGCACTTCGTAGACAGGCACCGTCTTGTCTTTCCAGCTCTGAGGTATAACTCCAGCAGGAATTTTTGCAGCTTCTTCTAGCCAAGTCCAAAAGTTCCTGCTGTGACAAAGGTTGTCATAACATCCGTGCATTGAAAGGATGGGCAATCCACATTCATGTGGCACCGAAGGGATGCATCGATGCTGACATAAGGGAATCAATGGGTACACCCTGCTGGCCAGATCTTGCGCTTTGGCAAGGCTCTCGTTCTCGTCCCATTGCCTGTCTTTACTATACCTCACTCGCCAAGGAATGCAATGCAACTTCTGAATTTGGGACACGGTGTCTTCGGTGTCTTCATCACTCACAGTCACTTTTCCCAGTCGCCGCCAGTCATGCCAACCACATCCCAAGGGCAAACCGACTTGAAGAAAGTCCCGCACATCCGGGGGAAATCTGAAACCGTACTTCTGTTCCACCTCTTTGAGCTCTTCGATGGTCAAGCCTGGCTCGATGTCATCACATCGTATGAAGGCCTGGACCTTTCGAATGATGTCACTGGGATCCTCCAAGATCAGCTGCAACTGAATCTCACCCGAAAGGCCTCAAGTTGGACGCAGAGTGCCAAGCTGTCAAATGAAATCGAAAAACAACCAAATCTGTCCACATCTGAGCTTTTTGGATGACTTGTTTTTTGATGTTTGTTTGTTGATGTAACTTGTGGCCAAGTCACCCAGGATCTTCAAAGACATCTGGCCATCAATGAGCTCAGCACCGGCCAAGCGCACTCGATGGAAGGACACGTCCAAGGCATCTGCCACCATGGACCGCAGATCTTCGGCGCTCACCGAGGTCTGCAGGCGCTTGGGACCCCAGACCACCTCACCTCGACAGAGTTACGGAGTTACGGAGTTACCACGGAGTTACCACGGAGTTACAATGGTGATGATATGTGATGATGTGACTTGGTTCATCTTGGTTCACTTGGGGCGATGCATTTGATGAAAAAGATCTGTGAATTTTTGAGAAAAGGATGAACAAGTTCAACAGAAATCCGTTCCTATCCTTTCGCACCTGACAGATTTCTGATGGTCAGCAGCACTTCCTCAATGCCATCAACCTGAAACCGCTTGGGGTGTTCCAAATTGCCATCCATATCTACCGGATCTACCGTTCCTCCGAGCCCCCCCAGAGCAAACATACCGAAAAACCGAGAGCTGCACCTCTGCAACCATGTCGAGGTCCAGCAAAATGCTCCAATCCTGGAGAAAGAGGTCGCAAGGTACTAGTGGCTCTCAAAATTGGACACACACCAAGGCCTTCGTTTTCCTCCTTTCGATCCACTTAAATACACCAAGCTTAGCAGGTTATAGCAGTTTGCTTCTACGTATTGCTAGATGGACAAAGTGAGACTTCCAGCCTCCTTGATGAATGGCAGAAAATAATCCTCAAATGCAAAGTGAAACTGCCATGACTAATCAATGGCAAAGACACTTCCAACACTATTGAGGCCGTAAGCATCAAGCTGTGCTGGTCTTGAGGTGAAGGTGCTAAAGCGTTGAAATGCGTGGGCTGGTCATGTGGCTGAAAGTCGAGCAGGATCAGAAACGGTGGTTTGTGAATTACGCCTGCAGTTTTGCAAGTGTAAAGATGTAATATCAGACAAGTTTTTTTCCCGTGTTTATGTAGATAAGAGTAATTTATGGCCCAAATGTACTCTCTTGAGCCAAAATGTGAGGAATGGGTGTACATATGAGCAGCGCTAACCCAGCTAACCCTCATGTTGGCCGCACACCAGTCTGTCACTTGTGACATCCACACCAAAACTCTCTGACAATTCGCCATCCGACTTTGATCGACCTTGGTCTTCTCTAGGCTCTAGACCTTGAAGAGCCTGGCAAAATGGAAGTCATGGAGTGAGGAGTCAGAAAAATGCAGAAGGTAGTGCAACCCGAGTCGAGATGCAGAAGACTTTTCGATTGAAATATGTATTTCGAAGTATTTTGTATACAATGATGACATTTAACGTTATAGGTATGATGATTATGATGCTTTGACAAGTAGAGCAGAATGTTTGCGCCCACGCAAAGCTTCTCGAATTGTGCGGAAAAAATCATCCTTGAGAACTCCTTGGTACGATGAGTCTTGTACACATTTCTGCTGGCTGTGGCAGAAACCCTTCAAAGGTTAGAGGCGAAACAAGGCAGTCCAGCTGCAAAAGGCAAATAGCACAGCCCCAAATCGTTTATGCTTCTTGTTTTTGTTATTTATCATATATATACATATATATATATATGTACATACATATATAATACTAATACAATATGTCATATTTGAAGAAACGTCGTTGTTTAGAAGCGCTCAGAACACACTGCCGCCTCTGCCAAGGTGGGCCTTCCCTTGCACACCAATGCCAGTTGTTCCAGCAATGCCTCCCGCTACAGCTCTTTTAGCCTTTCACACCCTGTCATAAAATATCATAAATCATCTAAAATATCATAAAATATCATAAAATATCATAAAATATCATAAAATATCATAAAATATCATAAAATATCATAAAATATCTAAAATCAAGAACTTTCGAGCTGAAAATAGCTAAAAATTGTGTCTGAAATGTGGGGTCCACAGCCCCGATCTACATGATCTGTCTGCTTGGGTGATTCCCTGGGTGAGGATTAGTTTTTGTTCAAGACTGGCGACAAACTTGCTCCACAGTGTGCCGAACAAAATGTGTGAGAGGGCTCCTGCCGCTGACACGTGACAGGTGCAAACAATTAAAGCTATCGCCAGAGACAAGATGAGACAAGTGAGCAATGAATTTAAACATATTTAAACACTACCCACCCAACCCCCTACCCAACCCTCCCTCAGCATTCCGCAGTGTCGCCTTGGCTTCCGAAACCTCTGAGTAGAGTGCCAAATAAATGGCCTCCTGCTGTGAGTAAAGGAAGCTGAAGGTCTGCGCCTCGATCGTCATGTCGTCATGATCCAAGGTTTCACCGCTGACATTGTGCTAAGCCGCTAAGCAAACATCAAACATCTGAGATGCTATGAGTCAACTTAAGAGTCAACAAGTCATCAACAAGGTCTCAGGATGCAACAGCAAAGAGGGAGAAGACCAGGCCTGGCATTGCAGAAATCCAAAGTGTCACAGCGCCATCAAGATCGAAAGTGGAGGCACAAAGGCACCACATCCCATCCCAATGCTCTGTAATGAACATGGAGACCCCAATGGATTGACACCTGCTTGTGTCGGATGCTGGTATACACGCCTACTCCGGTGAAGCAATTCTGCAGCCACTGCGCGTTGTTGTCCTTTTGCAGTTGCAAAGTCAGCAAGTCAAATTGGCTGGTAACTGCAGTAAGTGCCTTCAGAAAGTTTTTCTTCAGAACTAAATTATTGCTCAGAAAAGCAATTTAATCCTACATCCTGCCAGTCCCCCACCGCGCCCGGACGAGACCTCCCGGATGGCTAGTAAGGCTGGAGCTGAGAAGGATGTCTGCAGTCAAGACAGCGAGCAGGATACCCTTCGGCCCTTTGATGATTTTGCCATTGGTCATACAAAAGGAACTACCCGGCCAGTCATGCTTTGGTGTAACAAGGACTAGTTGATCATGCGGACCTCCATCAATGAAGCAATGGGCACAAACAGCAGAGCTGCGACCAATCCGACCTCGCTTTCGACATGTGGGCTTGACTGATTCATTGTATTTCTGCAAAGAGAACGGTGCGACAGTCTTGCTTCGAAAAACCTTTACAGCAAGTAGCAGGGTCTAGCCAAGTTCGAAGCCCCTGCACACTTCCCAAGACGGACAAATTGGCCACCCTGCGAACAGGGTGCTGGAATTCTAGCTGCTTGGAGCAGCTTTGAAATATCGCATCCCACCGGGAGCAAAAGTCACAAGAAGTATTGATAAGTTGTTCCTCATGAAAGCGAGGTCCTCTTCACCTCGAGGTTGCAAAGATGGCCAAGCCTTCAGGAGCCGAGCGCTGGACAAATGGAGACATGGCCTAGGAAAAGGATGCGCTGGTAATCTGAGATTTCCTACAGTTTTGCACACTTTTTGCAACTTGTGCATCTCATTACATAACCCGCTTTAAACTGCGTCATCAAACTGTCCAGCTAGTGAGATCTTGTTGCACATCTCCCTTGCCTCGTTGTCCCAAGTGTTCTTGCAGTCATCGTCGTCATCAACTCAGAACAGTTCAAAGCCTATTGGCCTATTTGGCAACGAGGTGATAAAACATCGCACCCTTATTCAATGCAGCGAAGTTGTGGCAAACTTGCAATTCTCACCCATTTGGATCCATTTGGCAGAACTTTAGTGCAAACCACGGGATAATCGAGGATGTTGTTTCTGCAGATGTCGGTTTTGGAATGTGCATGCAATGCGAACCGATCCAAAGTCCAACGGAATCCAAGGCCAGGACTCTTCAAAGGCTCAAGACTTGAAGCTTCGTCCTGTGGTGGGAGAATCCCCTCCCCCTTTGATCAATCTGTGATCCCCTTTGCTCATTGCCTTTGCTCATTGCCCTGCGCGTAAACAATCCTCACCATCCTCACCTGTGGTGCGGCCTCCAGGCGTCGCTGCAGCTCACCCCGGAGACCTCCCAAAGAATGCCACATCTCAGGTTTGATGCGCTTGCTCACAAGTTTTTAGGGTAAATCCCCCTCTGCAAACACTGCAAACATCTTGGAGATGAGAGGAGCAGCAAAGGGTCTTCTAAGTAGCCATAATCTGATTGTATGTTATTGTCAGGTCCCTGCGCCTTCTACCATATCGTCCAGCGCCTCATTCAAATTGTATAGGCCACACGTGGGTGTCCTGAGTTTCCAAAGAACAAATTCAAAAAAGAAAAGGAAAATCGAATTGAGAAACATCTGTGAATAAGTCATTGCAAGTGCCAGAGCGCTAACTTGGTTCCCAACCGAAGGTCCTGCACTACCTACACCCACTCATTTTGGAAGCAGGTGCAAGAGGGCCGGAAAAATATCAAAATCTGGAATTCAGTCATGGAATGTCATGGTCTATCCATTGTTCTTAGAATCTATATATCAGGATCTATCAGTTACATTGCTGCATCACATACTTCATCACTAAACTCACGCAAAACACCGCTGTTTCTGCCTGTAGAGCAAGCACCACACCCCCTGCCAGAAAAGCAAAGACCACAGATTGCACCCAAAGCCTCAATAGGAAAGCTGTGCTCCACAAAGTCGTTCAATATTCAGAGGAATCATGCGAAGCACTAAGCAGCATGTGTAAAATTGAAATTTCCCGTATCTCAGAACTATCTCAGAATATCTCAGGATTACCATGGAAAAGCATGGATTCGCTGCTGTTTTACCACTTTTCCACTTTTCTTTGCTCGCGAAACAGCGACAGAATAGCCTGGCGCCTGAGGCCTCCACACATGACCCGGCGAGGCTGCGTCAGCTTCATAGCCAGAGATCCCTGCCTTGCAACTTGGACTCTGCGAAATCGCAACCATTTGTCATCTGAGGTCCATGTATGTCAAAAAACCATACCCGTATTGTCCATATGATCCATATGGTCCAGAAAATCCATGTTCCGTTTACCGTCACCTTCATCAAACATCCGTTCCATAGATGCATTTTCTGAAGGTTTCTGTCTCTGTGGTCTTTGAAAATTTTCCAGGTTCCTGGTAGCCGTGGACTTTCTGCAGGGCTGAGTGCTTGGCACCAAGCAATGGAAAGACCAACAGCTCCAGGGCACCCAAGACATTCAGCAGGATAAAGTGCTCCAATGGGAACCTTCGAAAAACGGGCGACTGTGAAAACTGAGATCCAGTGCATCATGGCAATTCCTGCACCCAGAAGAATATGAAGCAAAATTTGAGATCAAAAAGAACAGAAGGATGGCCATCGTGATACATTGTGAAATTGATGTGTCAACAAATTTCAAAGACGCCATTAGGATCGGTCGGAACCTTTGGATCCGGCAGTGACCCACATTCCTAATTCTGATTGATTCATATTCATATTGTTACCCACAAATCATGTATCTATGATAAAAATCAAGAAAATTATTCAAAGTACCATCATTTTATCATGATTAGTCTTATTATATGTTACATATCATATACTAGAAATATTACACATCAGGTTTATTATACATTTTGATTTTATTCACTATCATTAGTATTACCATATCACGATCGTTTGCAATAAAAATGCCAAGGCCGCGGACTTGCGCTGCGTGGCGCCCAGGCGTTGTCCACGGGCCTGGAAGATGAAATATTGGGGTGTGGAGACGGTCGTTGTATGGATTAAAAATAACAAGATGCAGCCCACGAACCCGAATGCAGCCACGTAGAACACTTTTGTGATACAAGTTGTTTGAACAGTCTACATTTTTCCCCTGTTGCCGTACCAGTGCACTGTAGACTGTGGAGCGCGGAAAAAGGTGGAGTGCAAAGCGTGGAGTGCGCAGTGTAAAGTGTAAAGTGTGGAGTGTAAAGTGTGGAGTGGAGAGTGTAAAGTGTAGAGTGTGAAGTGTGGAGTGTAAAGTGTGGAGTGTAAGGTGTGGAGTGAGGAGTGTAAAGTGTGAAGTGTGGAGTGTAGAGTGTAAAGTGTAGAGTGTGGGGTGTGGAGGGTAAAGTGTAGAGTGTGTAAAGTGTAGAGTTTGTAGTGTAGAGTGTGGAGTCTAGAGTGTGGAGTGAAAAGTAACAATCATGCAGAATCATGCATCATACAAACCCTCCAACCCACCAATAGATTCTTATCTCGCATGGTGCCATCAAAGTTACAGGCGATATTGGGGAGGGATCCTGCCCCCCAATGTTTCCACCCTGATAGTCACCGACTGGCCAGGCTCTGGAGGTGTTCCTCTCCAGTTCTGCCTGACAGTGTTGGAATATGCATTCCAATTCTCTGCTCAATGGGTTGTCGCGGCGGGCGGGTTTTCGCAAATTGCATGAGCCCTATTCTTGACCCAAAATCGGCAAGAGGGCTCAAATTCACCTGCCCACCAAATGCATGACTACTTCATTGTTACAGTCACACTGCGTGTTCAATCTAACAATCATGCCTCATGCAAACCCTCCCACCCACCAATAGAATTTTATCTCGGATGGTGCCATCAAAGTTACAGGCGATATTGGGGAGGGATTTGCGTTACAATGTTTCCTGCCTGATAGTGACCGACTGGCAAGGCTCTGGAGGTGTTCCTCTCCAGTTCTGCCTGGCAGTGTTCGAATATGCATTCCAATTCTCTGCCCTGGTCACGAAGGCACTGCAAGTGCTACCGTTTGCTTTGTCAGTGTTGGCGGTGTCCGAATCAGTGTTGTTCCAACACTTATTGCGTCTCTTGCAATGTTCCGTGGGAGCGTCTATGCTCCGAAAGAATTTTACTTTCGCGAATTTCCAACCGCACTTTGTGGACCGCTGTTCAGGTGGATGGGCCATGCCGTCAGTATCGACAACATGCCAAGTCTTTGATGCTCGGTTCATGACAAAATCACAAGGAGTGTTGAGAAATTCTCTCTTGACTCTCTGGATTTCAGTCTGTACCATCGCTCTGGTGCAGCCATCAAGTGTCTGAATGTCACGCTCTAAAGCTGCGACACGATCCTCAAACTGATGAGCATCAAATTCCGGCCGTGTCCTGCTCTGAAGCTGAGACATCTGTTGTTTCACCTGGTCCAAAATCTCGGTCAAATTAGCTCCAGTCCTAGATTGTTCATATAACTGAGTGATCTTACACAGTGGTGCGGCCTGTGCGTAATGAATTAACATCTGTGATCTCCACCTAGCCATCAACTCAATTTGATACAAGTGATCCCCGACGCAGCAAGAAGTCTAGCTCCTGCAAGTCTCATGCTGTGACCACCCAGAAGCCTGTGACCGTCTTCATCTCTGACGGGAAGTCCCAATGCAGCATGCACATGTTCAAAAGTGCCAACAACTTTGCTCTTTTCCACGGTGGTTCCCCTCGAAGAAGGAAAGAAGGGGAGGTCATCCCTCAAGCGCAGATCCAAACAAAAGACCAAGAAAATTCAACTGAAGCTCAGCAGAAAGGCAAAGGCAACCGACAACACCACGCACTGAACATAGGCACGGGCTGCAGCCGGGTCGGTCTTGGTGCAAGGCAATCTGATGGTCACAACCTCACGTTGTCGGTCCTGATTTGCCGCAAGCAAAAGTGAAGCTTCAACTTCCCTAAGCATGAAGAAGGCCCTCAGACACAACAGGAGTGTGACTGACCTGATGCACATTCTTGAAGTCCTCTCAATGTCCAGTGGCAGGCGCTGCATCACGGGGCCGATCCCCCTGGTGACGCTCCTCGTGTCCCGCCTTGCCTCCATGGTGAGATCTATTCCCCATTCACCATACATTTGAACATGCACCTCTTTAGCTTTCATCAAGTACAGTTCGCTAAAGCTTCTGTACCCAGACATCTTAAAGGCAGCGGCGACCCGCGCGATCTTCTCGACCGTCAAAGGATATGTGGGAATGTGTGGATCATGCATGCGAGATGCATGGCTTCCCAAGTCCTAAGTACTGATGCAGCAGGACCTTTCGAGCTCATGGCCACATAACCCCTCCTAAGTTGTGACAAGGCCTCTTCTCTGAATTGAGGGGTCATGGTTTGCTCTGGTCTTCAAGCTTTCAAGACACACAAGCCAAGGCCTTCTGGAAGGCTCACTTACTACTGCTCTCACATTTGTTTAGCTGTGGCCCAATCACAGCTATTTTTCAGCCCTGCGAGCGACATGCTCCGACCCCTGGGATCCTCCGGTGCCCTTTACTTCCGAAAGGGAAATGACCGGAAGCCTACCAGTTTGTGTCCCTTACCCATGGAGCCATGCAACAACGTCGCAAGAAACTAGGCGGGGCTTTGGGGCCCACTAGCATACGTCTCAGCCATGCTTGAGCCTTGGTAGGCACCTACAGCATGTTTCTGAGCCATCCCTTGCATTAACGACGCAAGAACAAGGAAGGAATGGACGCCTACCAGTTTACATCTCACAGCCATGCCTGAGCATGCAACAACAAAACAAATACATGCGAGGCTCTAGATGCTCAAGAACCCGGGACCTATGACATGGAAGTATGCCCCACCCAATGCAACTCAGCAGAGAAGAGAAAGAGAACGCGATTCAGGTTGAGCAACATCAGGAATACTGCAGATCTAAGGATACAGACGCATGCTCCAAGGTGAGCCCCTCACCTGACGCGCCTCGTGTGCCGGTGGCTCCTCCTCAAGTCAACATGTGTGTCAAAGTTGGGGTGTTAGTTATCAATGCTATTTAGGTCGAGAGCGGGAATAGATCATATATAGGTGTGCATCATCAAAAACAAAGAGAGCTGTGCCCACGCTCAAGGATGATTCAGCGGAAGCGAGGGGTTGACCACGCTCAGCAAGGGTGGCACAATGGGATCCACATTGACGGCGAATTGCAGAGCCACTTTTGTTCAGAAGGGACATTGCCCCTGTCAGTTCATCCTAAGGCGTTGTCTCATTGTCGGCCTCATCTGGCCTTGCGAAGCGGCCGTCAAGGCTCTGTAGTATGACTGGTTGCGTGGCATCGGGTCCATCTGTTTTATCTTCAGCAGCGGCTCTGGTAGATCCACCCGTTTGTCAGGTTGGTGCAATCTGCTGAGCAAATCAGCCCAATCGTTGCTGAAGCCGGGGATATGCTGAAAAAACAATGGTTTGTAGCTGGAGGTGCCAATTCTCGCGCCACTATGCTCATGCCCTGTGATGAACATTTCGGTCGGAGTTTGACCAGCAATGTGAGGGTGGAGACATTGTCGCTCCTGATCCTCAGGGAGGCTCCAGGTTTGCGGTAGTTGCGCCACAGTCGTAGAGCTACCAACACTGATAAAGCCTCCAATGTCTGCTGACCTGCCGCATCACAGATTTCCAGTTTTAGGATGCTTTCATCCTCTTGTGTGACGGCGCTGCTGAAGTAAGCAATGACAGTGCTGCTCACCATGAGGTACCCACCTAGCCCCCATGGTGACGCGTCAGTGATGATGCTTCCTGGCAACGGCCAAAATAGGCCTGGACCCGGTACACCCTGCAAATGCTTCCAAGTTCCTCAGCAAAGAAAGCAAGCAGCCCCTGTGTCACGTGGCTCCACTGTCTGGTCCAGTAGGGGTTGACCGGTGCATGGCTTCCGGTTGTGCGGTGGATAACCCCATAGAGGTCGGACATGAAGGGTCGTATGACTTCAACAATTCCAGCAATATGGTTAAGCGTGCCAATGTACGACAACAACGATTTCTTTGTCGCCAAATTGCTGGTCAAATGAGTGTTCGTCACCTCCTTCACCTCCTTCACGATTTCTGGTTTTGCACGGACACTGGGTTGAGCATTGGACTGTCCTTGGCTGTGGGACCGCATCTCAGCTCCAATCCACGTAACATGGAAGCCTCGCAATGCCTTTTTGTAGGCGAGTCGAATACTGCAGCAGGCCCAGAACAATATTGTTGCCGCATGTTGCCGCCATCATGCGGCTTCTGCTTCTGTCACTGCCTCGCATGCAGATGTAAGGGTCATCAACATAGAGCTGCAGTCTGTAAACTGTAAACCTGATCGCCAAACGTGGCCTGTGTCATGCGGGAGATAAGCGCTGCCACTCTTCCGCAAACCAGTGGCGCATTCTTGCTGCCCTGCGCCTGAGTCTGACGCAAAAGTACTGCGCCTGCCACACAAAACCATTTTCGACACGGTATCAGACAGGTTGGAATGTGACAAAGTGCCAGGCCTGCCACGCGGAACGAAGCTACGCGACATTTGAAACCTCCAAAAGTGACCACTTTTGCAGAACTCGCCATAGGCACGGCATGGCACGGCCATACGTTCCTCACGCGAACGGTTGCGGACGGTTGCGGACGGTTGCGAACATAAACGCAACGTCGAGCGAACACACCCCCCAGAGTGAAACGGGAACCCTTGCTACGCATTTTACAGAACAATCATGCCAATGGACACGGATAAAACAAAAAAGTGTGAAAAGACATACGTGATCCTCATAATAGTTACGTAACGTACATACCATACGGAATGCGGTACCCACATAAACGCATGTCCTTCCAAGTTCTGGATACGGTAGTCAAGGGTGCGGTGGATAACCCCATAGAGGTCGGACATGAAGGGTCGTATGACTTCATTCCAGGGTTAAGCAATGTACGACAACAACGATTTCTTTGTCGCCAAATTGCTGGTCAAATGAGTGTTCGTCACCTCCTTCACCTCCTTCACGATTTCTGGTTTTGCACGGACACTGGGTTGAGCATTGGACTGTCCTTGGCTGTGGGACCGCATCTCAGCTCCAATCCACGTAACATGGAAGCCTCGCAATGCCTTTTTGTAGGCGAGTCGAATACTGCAGCAGGCCCAGAACAATATTGTTGCCGCATGTTGCCGCCATCATGCGGCTTCTGCTTCTGTCACTGCCTCGCATGCAGATGTAAGGGTCATCAACATAGAGCTGCAGTCTGTAAACTGTAAACCTGATCGCCAAACGTGGCCTGTGTCATGCGGGAGATAAGCGCTGCCACTCTTCCGCAAACCAGTGGCGCATTCTTGCTGCCCTGCGCCTGAGTCTGACGCAAAAGTACTGCGCCTGCCACACAAAACCATTTTCGACACGGTATCAGACAGGTTGGAATGTGACAAAGTGCCAGGCCTGCCACGCGGAACGAAGCTACGCGACATTTGAAACCTCCAAAAGTGACCACTTTTGCAGAACTCGCCATAGGCACGGCATGGCACGGCCATACGTTCCTCACGCGAACGGTTGCGGACGGTTGCGGACGGTTGCGAACATAAACGCAACGTCGAGCGAACACACCCCCCAGAGTGAAACGGGAACCCTTGCTACGCATTCGGGAAAAAAAAACTTAATGTAACAGATCTCACAATGATAAGAAAAAAGTAAATATGATAATATACATGTACATACCTACTGGAATGATATATAATTGTATAACATTATATATCCTAAAATCTGGATACGGGTCAAGTCATTGTGAATCCGTAAATTGGCAGGGTCTGATGCAAAAACATACAAAATCTGTGGTCCCCTGCAGGAAGGGCCCCCCTAGATAGGTCAGTTGGTTCGTAACTAGGCAATATAGAATTCATGGCAGATATGTACAGATATGTGATCATAGATGGGGTTGCTATAAACCAACTTGTAACTGGAGCTGCCTGCCTGAGGGCATTAAATTTTGATGAATTTTGATCCATCTTCATGGCAGTATCTTTGCTGAAGGATCATTGGACTTTTGGGCGGCCAATTTTGGGTGGGGAAACCTGCAAAGCTGCAAAAAGATGCAAAAAGCAAGTCCAGAATATCAGAAAAATGATCCAAGAAATGTCGCCCCCCCACTTCCACATGCTTTACTCAATGTTCGTCAATATCTTTGATTCAAGATCCCAATTGAGCATGATAGATAGACACCCTGCTAGATTTTTGGGTCTTCCAAACGTTCTGATGCATAGCTTCCGTGCTGCTTACACTGCTGAAGATTGTACTTGCCCAGCAACATTAGCTTACGCAAGGCCAGCGCCTTGCTTCACAATACATAAGAGTCATATAGATCATATAGAGTCATAAGAGGTTTTAAGAGGTTTGTGGGGCAATATGGGGCAATTCCATCCCACAAGGCCCACAATCCAAAAGTGGTATTCAAAGCCTGCCGCAAGCTTCGGACTGTGTCATAGACCACAGATGGAACCTTGCCGTGGCTGCGACTGAGATGTGAAAGTACTGAGTGAGGCCAAAAGTAGTGATGAAGCAACCCTTTGGATTTATACTTGCGAAAAAACAATCAAAATTGCACTGAGTTGTACTTGAAGCTGCTCACTGCAATTCAAATCACAGCTACGCAGCTACACTATGCTACACGTTGCAATTGCTTCGGGAGCTGCACCCCAACGCTGGTAGCATAGAGGATGTTCTCTAAAGGATCATTGGCAGGCTTTGCCTCGGTCACAGCTGCTGACTATTGTTGACTCACGTTTTTCCACGAGACATGATTCGACATGATTCGACTCGACATGTCGTTCCAAAAAAGAAGCAGAATGACTGAAAATGGCGCTGAAAATGGCTGAAAGATATCGAAATCAGTGCCAATCAGTAGCCCACTGCCACAAGCACTGCAGGAGGACAGCCAAGTCGTACTCCCAGGACCAGCTCGGAGATGTAAGCATCCCTGAGTCAATGACCAATAGTCAGTTTGAGTCAATCAGTGACTGAGACAGCGCCCGCTGAGTCCCAAGGGCCGCACATGCTTTCCAGCATGGAACGATAGCTCGGCCTTAGCGGCTCTGCCGCTTGCCAAGGTCGTTTTGCAGAGACATGTAGAGACACAGGGCATCACAGGGCAAAGGTTAAGGAAAGTGAACCAGATTGCAACATCTGAAATGTTTAAAAACTGTAGATCCACACTGACAACAGAAAATGTATCAAAATGTAACATCAGTTGTGACATACGATTTAGTCCCCAGAGCGCCCCACCTGTTCTGCGACACCAGGGTCAACTGCTCTAGAAGCGATCTCGCCTACAGGCTGCAATGTCTTGCAATGCCCTTCAATCCCCCGCAGCCCTAACCACAACCGTAGCACTGTAGAGCCTGACAATCCTACTTTGCAATGCCCTTCATACAACCAAATCCAATGCGACCACAGCAACATCCAAACATGGCATGTGCAGGAAGACGATAACACACTGCCACGAACCCAAGAGCTAGCTGAGGGGTGGGACAACCAAATCCTGCTTTTGATGGTGTAAGCGCAAGTCAAAGGCAGCTTCCAATCAACAAAGTCCATGAACTCAACTCTGGATCTGAAGCCTTGCGCACGTGCAAACAGCAATAAGAACGACTGCTCAAATTCTCAAACTCATCCAAACTCCACAATCCAACGTGATCAAACTCGGAGTAAAGATCAGCCTGGGAGTGTACTGCATGACCGGACATCCTGTGTGGCTGCATGAAACCTGCTGCCAGAGGGGATAAATCATCAGCTCAATCTGGCAGCTCAAAAAGGGCCCACAAAGCAGATTGGATGCCTGTGCCGTGGTTCTAGCAGCTGCTCGTCTTCGAACTCGTTCACGCCAGAAAAAAAGAACGCCAACACAAATGACAAATTGACGCAAGATCAAGGGCCCACCATTGAACTGGTACAGCATAACCACTTTCTGTGGATACTTTGCCTGCTGAAAGTGGTGTGCAGGAAGACGATAACACACTGCCACGAACCCCAGAGCTAGCTGAGGGGTGGGACAACCAAATCCTGCTTTTGATGGTGTAAGCGCAAGTCAAAGGCAGCTTCCAATCAACAAAGTCCATGAACTCAACTCTGGATCTGAAGCCTTGCGCACGTGCAAACAGCAATAAGAACGACTGCTCAAATTATCTCAAATTCTCAAATTCATCCAAACTCCAGAATCCAACGTGATCAAACTCGGAGTAAAGATCAGCCTGGGAGTGTACTGCATGACCGGACATCCTGTGTGGCTGCATGAAACCTGCTGCCAGAGGGGATAAATCATGAGCTCAATCTGGCAGCTCCAAAAGGGCCCACAAAGCAGATTGGATGCCTGTTCCGTGGTTCTAGCAGCTGCTTGTCTTCAAACTCGTTCACGCCAGAAAAAAAGAACGCCAACACAAATGACAAATTGACGCAAGATCAAGGGCCCACCATTGAACTGGTACAGCAAAACCACTTTCTGTGGATACTTTGCATGCTGAAAGTGGTGTGCAGGAAGACGATAACACACTGCCACGAACCCCAGAGCTGGCTGAGGGGTGGGACAACCAAATCCTGCTTTTGATGGTGTAAGCGCAAGTCAAAGGCAGCTTCCAATCAACAAAGTCCATGAACTCAACTCTGGATCTGAAGCCTTGCGCACGTGCAAACAGCAATAAGAACGACTGCTCATATTCTCAAATTCATCCAAACTCCAGAATCCAACGTGATCAAACTCGGAGTAAAGATCAGCCTGGGAGTGTACTGCATGACCGGACATCCTGTGTGGCTGCATGAAACCTGCTGCCAGAGGGGATAAATCATGAGCTCAATCTGGCAGCTCAAAAAGGGCCCCACAAAGCAGATTGGATGCCTGTTCCGTGGTTCTAGCAGCTGCTTGTCTTCGAACTCGTTCACGCCAGAAAAAAAAGAACGCCAACACAAATGACAAATTGACGCAAGATCAAGGGCCCACCATTGAACTGGTACAGCAAAACCACTTTCTGTGGATACTTTGCATGCTGAATGTGATGTGCAGGAAGACGATAACACACTGCCACGAACCCCAGAGCTAGCTGAGGGGTGGGACAACCAAATCCTGCTTTTGATGGTGTAAGCGCAAGTCAAAGGCAGCTTCCAATCAACAAAGTCCATGAACTCAACTCTGGATCTGAAGCCTTGCGCACGTGCAAACAGCAATAAGAACGACTGCTCAAATTATCTCAAATTCTCAAATTCATCCAAACTCCAGAATCCAACGTGATCAAACTCGGAGTAAAGATCAGCCTGGGAGTGTACTGCATGACCGGACATCCTGTGTGGCTGCATGAAACCTGCTGCCAGAGGGGATAAATCATGAGCTCAATCTGGCAGCTCAAAAAGGGCCCACAAAGCAGATTGGATGCCTGTTCCGTGGTTCTAGCAGCTGCTTGTCTTCGAACTCGTTCACGCCAGAAAAAAAGAACGCCAACACAAATGACAAATTGACGCAAGATCAAGGGCCCACCATTGAACTGGTACAGCATAACCACTTTCTGTGGATACTTTGCCTGCTGAAAGTGGTGTGCAGGAAGACGATAACACACTGCCACGAACCCCAGAGCTAGCTGAGGGGTGGGACAACCAAATCCTGCTTTTGATGGTGTAAGCGCAAGTCAAAGGCAGCTTCCAATCAACAAAGTCCATGAACTCAACTCTGGATCTGAAGCCTTGCGCACGTGCAAACAGCAATAAGAACGACTGCTCAAATTCTCAAACTCATCCAAACTCCAGAATCCAACGTGATCAAACTCGGAGTAAAGATCAGCCTGGGAGTGTACTGCATGACCGGACATCCTGTGTGGCTGCATGAAACCTGCTGCCAGAGGGGATAAATCATCAGCTCAATCTGGCAGCTCAAAAAGGGCCCACAAAGCAGATTGGATGCCTGTTCCGTGGTTCTAGCAGCTGCTCGTCTTCGAACTCGTTCACGCCAGAAAAAAAGAACGCCAACACAAATGACAAATTGACGCAAGATCAAGGGCCCACCATTGAACTGGTACAGCATAACCACTTTCTGTGGATACTTTGCCTGCTGAAAGTGGTGTGCAGGAAGACGATAACACACTGCCACGAACCCCAGAGCTAGCTGAGGGGTGGGACAACCAAATCCTGCTTTTGATGGTGTAAGCGCAAGTCAAAGGCAGCTTCCAATCAACAAAGTCCATGAACTCAACTCTGGATCTGAAGCCTTGCGCACGTGCAAACAGCAATAAGAACGACTGCTCAAATTCTCAAACTCATCCAAACTCCACAATCCAACGTGATCAAACTCGGAGTAAAGATCAACCTGGGAGTGTACTGCATGACCGGACATCCTGTGTGGCTGCATGAAACCTGCTGCCAGAGGGGATAAATCATCAGCTCAATCTGGCAGCAGTGCGCCCACGATGCCAGGACATGGTGGTGCAGCTGCCGTCAGCAATTTTGAAGGGACATTCACAGACATGCCTTTCGCCAAGCACTTTCTCGGCTGGCAAATGCACTTTCAAGAGTGAAAGACTTTCAAAATCTTCAAAGTCCTTGGTCTGTTTACATTGTTTACAATTTAACAATAAAACAACACTGTCTCAAGCTGTCTTGGCACAGTTGTCATGTCAGGAGCATTTGCAGGAAGACAACGAAGCTCACAAAGCTGCGTTTAAAGCTTCTGCAACCGCAAGGTGAGGATGTTACGCCCCATCCCCGTCCTCAGAGATCTCGGAGAAGAGGGCCATGTACAAACTCTCCTGTAGGACTTCGGAGAACAGTGCAGGTCTTCTTGTCTGTGCCTATCTGTCCAACCCTACCTGCTGAGCATACAAGGAGGCATAGGTTTGCGAAACGAAGAAAGAGAAGAGCAACGTGTTGAAGTTGAAGAAGTTCTGCATAAACTGCGACACCTCAAGAGTAATAGTCCATGTCTAAGGGCTATTCCAGGTCTGCCTGCAAAGACAATGCAAGCAGAACAGTCTTTGCATAGCCGCTGCGGATACCCCTGTCTTGTCATGTCAGCCTTTCTTTAAGCACACCACATCACCTTTGATGACACCCAAAGCCACAGAGTCCAACTGTGACGCAACCTCAGCAACGAAGAATCCGCAGTTCGCTCCTGGACGTGATGTATGGACCATTATCGGCGTGTGGTTTGCCAACATGAAGGACAAGAGTGCTATCGAAATTCTAGAAACAACGCATTTCGGCAGGGTTATTTGTCAACATGTCCAAACATGTTCTTGCCACAGTCATTTTCTTACTAGGTCTTGGCGCCCAACCATCAGCGATACAGACGGATAGATGATGAAGCTCACCAAACTGGCCACCAACCTCGAGGCAGTCAAGCTAAAAACTGGGTGAAAGCGCATGGATTTGCGCACCAGGAAAGATCCTGTTAACACTGTCTCAACACGATGTTCACTGTTAAGTGTCTTAAGTCAACTGTTAAGTCACTTAAGTTCACTTTCCTCAGGTCTGCTTCACATTCGGGCTGCCGACGCAGGGACCACCAGGCGCCAAGGATCTGTGTCAGCCAACGGCCTCAGGGCGCAGATGACAACGGTTGACATGGACAAATTTTGAGGGTCACCGGGTCACCTTCCATTGCCGCACACTTTGTAAATCCTCGAGGGTTTGAACTGACATCAGTTCGATCCTCTGGATTCCATGTGCCAAGAATCTCTGCTCTGAGAGATGTGCAAACTAGTCGGAATGGGGCTTGCTTGACTGCCTTGGTGGGGAGCGCATCTCATAACCCTCAAAATCTGAAAATTTGGCTGTGCTCAAAATTGCCAAATAATCAAATGCAAACATGATCAAACATGCACAAGGCTTAGGTGGCTTAGGTGGCTTGGGTGGCTTAGGTGGCTTAAGCATTCTCATTGAAATTGGGGAAACATTTTTCCCGAAGACTCGATGGCTCCAAGCAGCGGAGAGCTCGAAGCAAATGGGGGCGCGGGGGGCGCGGCTTCCGCCTCATGGCAAAGTGCAAACCAGCAAACACAAGACCCACAGATACCCACAGCAAATACGACTCTTCATGCTCTTCATGCTCTTCAGGGAAGTGTTGAAGGTAAAATACCGGTTTTTGCCAATGTTTTACCTTCCTACTCTGATTAGTTCAAGCGTCAATGTATTAGCAAGTTACTCTAGCACCCGATGCACTCAGAGTCCAACCTTCGGCGAGGCAGCATGAAACAAAGTGGCAGCAGGCCCTGTGACGTGCAACAACAGCTGAAGCATGGTCGGCCGGCGTCAAAGAAATTGTTGTTACCTTTTTCCCAACAATTTTCTGAAGGTTGTGTTTTGCCTTCTAAAGCTAATAAAGAGAACTGAAACTTACCAACAAAACAAGGAAGAAATCAACACAAACTCAAAGTGTCATATCATTGACGGTGGTTGATCAATTGTTTATCACATTTCCTTCCGACATGTCCAATGCTACCTCTAATACGAAGGATGACAATTCCAAACGCATTCAAATGCTGTATCTGTCTGGTAGTCTGGTAGACTTCACTTGATTGTTTTGTTTTTGCCATGAAAACTACGCACCTTCAAACCGCTCCATGCTGCACCTGTGCAAGAGAGCAAATCATTGGAATATGTGAAACACTTGCACCGGATTTCTCCATCCTGTATGAAACTCATCCAGTATGAAACTCCTCAAAGTTCCCAGTGTCCCCAGGCCGTACCTTTCTTAGCCTCAACGGCAGGCCGGAAACTCGACCTTCAAACTGAGAGCAGTGAGTGTTGAGGCACGAAATCCGTCTGGGGAATTTCTTAGGTTTAGAAGGCTGCCTTCCCCTTGGCATACACTGTTTAAGTTTGTTACATTGGCATACACCGTTCTTGCTACTCAATTTGGTTTATTTGCACCAAATTCAAGAACATCCGGAAGCCATCCGATACAGTATATCCCAGGAGAATGTACTCCATCCAACCAGACATGTTCAACACAACTTTCAATTTCAAGTCTTGATCAGCTGCAAGTGAGAAAACATATCCAGTGATATCCAATGTATCCCCCACCTCGTTACACTGGAAGTGCCCAGCACAGGTGAACAGCGAATCAAAGGACCTGCACCGAAGCCCAGGCCTACTCAACATGAATTTCCAAAACACCATTCGAAACAAAAGAAACGAATTAATTATCCACGTTCATTTTGTTGATGGAAACAAAGAGTTTGGAAGCAAATGTAGATGGATGCAACGCTTGAAGTTTATTGATGTTCCTGCCCACGCCCCGTGTTTTACTTGGAAAACTACGAACACCTACCGAAATCATTGTTTTACTAGCAACAACACTGTTGTTCAGCTCTCATGAGCCTACCTGCGGCCTACCATTCGCACTTTTCTTTGGAACTGTTCTAACTTTGCCACTTTCAAGATAATCATCTCACCCAACAGACCTCGAAGTTCTCCCGTCAACGCCATGGCTGGACAACAACTTTGCCAGGTAAACGGATCGTGCAAAGAGTCCACAAAGCAGCCTTCTATGACACGTGATTTTCGACTCTTTTTCCCACCCTTTTTCAACTCAAAATACGTGCATGTTGCAATACACACAAATTTATATATTTTTATATATAACTGGATTTTTTTACATCTACACTGATATGTTCCTTTTGTGAATAAGATCTTGTGGCATATGGACTATTTAGCTAAAAGATGGTTTTTACTTTTTGTTTCCAATCATCAAAACAAGAGTTTGTAAAATTGCTGAAATGACCAATGATACAAACTCGAGTTTGTAAAGCTGCTGACATGACCATTTCAACGTTTCTAATGCAACAGGAACCATTGTACCCCTTTGAAATTCACGTCGAGAATGAAAAATCAACCCGCAACAAATCTGAATAAAATAACAAAATTTGAGAACGAGGGCGGAAGGTTTGAAAACGTGGAACCAAACCCAAAAAAAATGTGATGTTTCAAGCAAACGCGGCACTCAGACATTTTGTTTTTGTTTCACATGGGGAGAGAGGCCCGTCCAGCGCCCGGACATTTGTTTTTGGTTTTATGAAACAGGTGTGAGCAGCGTAGTTTCTTTGGAAGTTCCCGCCCATCCCAGTCGAAATCCAAGAAGAGTTGGGTGTTACCAGATTGTTACCACGGACGACACTGACATGGTCCATCAAAGTTATTTGATTTTGATCCAAAAGTTTCATCACGTTGTCATGTCTGTTCCGCATGGGAGGGATCCGGGTGTTTCCTGTGTACTGACGGCGAAAGTGTTCCAAGGTTGTTTGCTGCATCTGCCAAGACATTGCGTCCAAATTCGAACAAACAACGTGTTTCCAAACGTGAAGGTAGATCATCCAAATTTGCCGTTGCTGGCACTTCGCAAGCCAAACATGTAAATTGAAAACAATTGCGTCCTCTAGTCTAACTTCATGTGTATAATAGTTGCAGCAACTATTCCAAAGCCGGTTCCTCTACTAAGTGCAAAACAGTGATCGATTATTCGCGGTTGGGGCTGGTGATTCGCGGTGACTTGCCTCTTCGGGATTTTCATTTGCGCAAAACACACTCTATCATTGTCACCATATGTAATATAGTATCCAGCCGAGTAGGCAGAAGTTGGTACCGGTGACCACACATCCAAAACCAAGCATGTTGCAAGAAATTCGAATTTGTAAATGATAGTTTCTTTGCCATCAATTCCCACCAAGCTAACCATGTTTTTCTCTGGGTGATGTGAAACCCATCACAACATTTGCCCGCTGAGTTCACAAGACAAGCCAGTTCACATGTTTTTTGATCCTAAGCAGCATCGGAAAAAGGAAACCGCTCTTGCACAGTGTTTGCATCAACGCGCTTGGGCCCGCTGTTTTCAGCCTCATAATCGAGATGCAACACACTTGCCAGATCATCATTTTTGTAAATTTATTGCAGGCACATATGAATGGTCAGCCAAACCCTTCAAAATCGAAAGTTCCAAATTTCCATGCAAAAAACCATCGGCAAAACCTAGTCGCCAATAGGACCTGAGGGGATCGTCACAGTTCGGTTTTTTTTGGTTTCCAGGACTTGTTCCAGTTTTGTCAAGACCTCTGCAACACGTGACTCAAATAGCACACATGTCAAAGGTCACCCCCAAAGCACTGCAAAGAGTTGAAAAATCAGTGCCTTTTTTCCCATTTTCATCTTCCAAATTCAAAACAATTACATTATGTTCTTGATGCTTCCTACTGCGGACATGTGTTTCGACAAGAGATTCTCAAGAAGCACTGATCAAAAGCTGCTGACGCCACACATTTTTTTCTTCAACTGGGGAGAATCGTCGAAAGTTCTGTGCGGCGCGCTCTGGCTGCGGGTAGGCTCCCGTGAATCCAGCAGAGCGGTCGATGGACCAAAATTGAAATATGTTCAATTGAAATTCAAATTGAACAACGGTAAGTGGCCATGCACTTGCAGATGGCGCTGGACTTGTCTGCATGCATGCAGAAGCTTCATTGAGGATAAGAAGTTGAGATTGACACGAAGCTGTTGGATTTGAAGTCGTATGTTCTCAATAATGCGAGCAGGGCCGGCCAAGGCCTCGTGATCAAACAGGTCAGAGATTTCGATGAGGTGTTCTTCAGCTTGATTGAGCTGTTGAATGTATCTCTGAATCAAGAAAGCATCGTAGAAGAGCTGTTGGAGATCACGGCCATGTTGCTCGTCCATTTGAGAAAAGAAAAAGGGTGGGTGAGGTATTGGGTCGAAAAATTTGAATGAAAGTTTGTTCATGACAATTGCAAATGTAAAAACTTGACGTTCACTCGAACTGTCAAATGTGTAATAAACTGATATGGCAACCGTCATGAAAAGACACGTGTGTGTTCAGCAGCACTTGCTGCTTACCTCACTCGAGGCTAAGACCCGAAAAGCAGCAAGAATGTTGATCAGTGAA